CTTGCTACAGGTAGCTCTAAAAATTCTATGTGGAATAGGCTATATATCAAAAGCAAGCGCTATCCTGGAGCAGCACAAATTTCCTTCGAAATCCTGCCAGAGCAACTTCACCAATGGAGGAGATGGGAAATCAATCAAAACACTCATGGTTGTCACGTGGTAACCCAACCCGCATTTCCTGTTGCTACGCCCCGTTTCCAATCCCTTTCATTTACTCTATTATCTATGCTAGTTGATAGTACCGTAAATAATTTTTCTAATTAGTCTACTCGTATGTAAAATTAAAAATGGCTAAAGGTAAGCATACTTCTCAGGTGGTTTGTGCTGCATTTTGTACAGGTAACCCCTCAATAGAGACATTCTTCCAGTTTGCCCAAGCTGTTTGTTGCAGTTTAAGTTCAATGTTTTATGAATTAGCAATCATTACTGATGGCACATTTCTATATGTATATTTTGTTTCGTATAACCTATTCAACAGAAATGGTGTCAGTGACCTTCGGTGTGTTCTAAGCATTGCAATGTTAATAATCATAATGTCACAGATCCCTTGGTTTTTATGTTAATGGTGCAAAACAAACCCGGCTCTCAAACTAGCTAATCAGTAAATCTGTTGTTACAGAAAGACGCTATCATATTTCCAAGGGAAACATTCCACATTATGAATCTCTATTGAATGGTTGAATCAGTTACTATCATTTGCCTAACACTTTTAAGATAAGGGTACTAAAAAGTTGTAATTATAATTGCCACACCTGATTGCAATGAATTAATTAAAGTAATAATCTGAGCTCACATGAGCTGGTCTAGCAACTAGCAAGCACCTCAGCTCAGCTCAACAACTCCTGCTTTCTGTGGCTGTTGCTTCGCAGTCTTATAAGTGAATCTTGAAAACTACAACATCCTGTTAAGGATGACCCAGACATTGCACATATATACACAATATATGAATATACACGAACTTCTGAGTAAAAAGTAGATACGTTATGAATACACTACAGATATTGAGGGTTACTGGATATACAAGAGGATGTTAGTTGATTAGAAGCTGAGGCGAAGCCAAGGTTTCTACTCAACTAACATCTGAGTGCAGGCTAAGAGCTATTGTGAAAAAGATATTTTTAAAAATTGATACTATCAAATTGAACTAGAATGAATATAGCCTTCTGACTATACACAGAATACACTAGATTGAGCTTTTTTGCACTGTAAACTCTTTTTGGCAATTATTTAAAATACAAGTAAATACAGTAAAGAAGTATTAATAGATGAAAAATTTATCAAAATAGATGTAGATACATGGTAGGTGAACGTTGAATACATGATTGATGCATGATGCTATAGAGCACTCCATGGAAGCAATGGTGAGTAACAAAGCCCGTGATGAGAAGGTAGGAAAGGTGGACTAGGCTAGACCTCATTCTTAGTACTAGGCTACTAGTGGCTGAGTGTTGTCAATATTATTTTCTCACTGTAGAACAGTTTGATGATGAGTAACTCCAGCTCTTCTATCAGATCAAAAGGAAGCAAGAATAAGAAGAAGTTGGCGGACTTGGCCCAAGCCCAGTCAGTGTTACCAGTTAAAGACTATGAGGTGAGGTGTCAATCAAGCAACACTATCCACCTTTTGTCTCGCTAACTATAATATATTTAACTCTCTTTCTCTCATTTATAGAGTTTAGATTATGACGTCTGTTATAATGTACCTCACAAGCAATGGCTTGATTCTTACAAAAAAGAAGTCAGTTATTATCATAACCAGAGGTGTATATAGGAATCTGGAAAGGAGGGTGCTGAGGGCGCGCCGCAATTTTTGTCCCACCCACTTTTACGGCGGTAAAACAGCCTTTTCCTGAATTTTCGTCAATTACGAGTGGGGCCAAGATCATTTCCATGTTAGTGGTACTCCTGATTGCTTCTTAAAGCACTGGAAACTGCTAAAATAATGATCAGGGGGCTAGATAACTTTGTTAAGAGGCTTGGTAGTGATGCAAGAGTCCAGGATTGGAGTAATTTTTTCTGAGCCCAGCCATGAGGGGGGTGCTCAAGCCCCCTCAGCCCCCCCCTAAATACGCCTCTGATAACAATAATTTGTTTTAGGCAGTAGCTATTGGTCTGGTAGCCGGACACAATTTTCCAGTGCTATTGGGTCCGGTAGTCCATTTTTTTGTATGTTAAACAACCTTGTGCGCATGCACATTGATGCAAAATTACTGGTAACTTGAACTTAGTGTCTTGGACTCCTAAGCTAACTAGGAACTTCTAAAACCTAGGGGATGCTCTAAAAACTAAACTGTAAACCAACCTTGGGGACTCATAACATAACTAGGGGGACTCCTAATATGACTAGGGGCACTCTAAAAAAACTGCCACGCTATAATCCCTTAACTCTAAAACAACAGCTAACTAGAGGAAACTTAACATATAACTATGGGACCCCTAAAATAATATAAAAAGTGAAAATTGAATTTTTAAAGAACAGAAAAAAATACAGCAATTTTGGCATAAATTTATTCAACGTTCCGAGCTGGATTCAAACCAGTGCCCTACATTAAGATCTGTTCCAGTGCCTGGCTCAATCATGCTATATTGTCATATCTGTACTTGACATCTATTTAAATTTGTGTACTAGTATAATGGGGCAAAGGCCCAGCTAGTATGCTATATAGGGCTGTCGGATCCCTAGCCATTCAAATTCCTTTTCCAGCTGGTGGACCAATAGCCATTTCCTTTGTTTTATTAATTGTCTCTTTTTTTACATCACATTGGCTTTTTTCGATCCTTCCTTTTCCCTCTCTTTTTTCCTTTCCTCTGTCTGTTTTCTTGTCATTAGACTTATAAACACATTGCTCTCATGAGGTGGGTAATGGTTGCACTCATTGGAATTGTGACTGGTACCATTGCATTTCTCATTAACGTTGGCATACATTATCTGAGACTGCTAAAATATCAAGGATTTTTTAGAGGTAAAACTCTTTGTAGAGAACATGTACATAATGATCACTATTATTTAGTATTATTATTTTATTTTATACCGTATAGCTGGTTTATTTCGTGTGGAATTAATTTTCGTGCAGGCTCAAATCCACTAAAATTAATTCCACTAAATTTTATTAAAACCAATTAAATATTAACAAAAATTTAGCAAGGCACTAAAATTAATTCTAATGAAAATTTAAGTAACAAAAATTTGAGGCCACAAAATAAACCAGCTATACGGTATTTGATTTATTTTATAGTCTATGAATTAACGCGAGATTCTGGTACAATATTCCTTGCTCTGTTAGTAATTGCTGGATTTAATGTATTTTGTTCTATTTTTGCTGGTATCCTGGTTGCTATTGAAGTATGTCTTACTTTTGTATAGAATTTTATTTTAAAAAATTATTGTAGCCAATTGCTGCAGGTAGTGGAATACCTGAAATAAAGTGTTACCTGAATGGAATAAGGGTAAGACAAAAATGATATTATAATAAAACAATGTTCAATATTGTGTTTTTTATTATTATACATGTAGATGCCAAGAGTTGCTAGGATACGTACGCTAATGGCAAAAGCTTGTGGTGTATTGTTTTCTGTGGCAGGAGGTAAAAAGAATGTTTTTCCTTCGTGCTTTAAGTTTACTAGTACCCAATTATTGCATTTAACATGTCCCGACCAGTTTGAATGAAATGACCTTAGAATTATGATAAACCTATCAGAATGAGCCATCATGTGATGAATAAGAATGACTTGTGGCTTTGAATTAAAAGCATATTGCACTCATTATTTTTAAAATGCAATAATGCAATAACTTGTTACTGTATATTAGTTTCTGTATTGATTATCTTTTGTTCTAATAATAATAATAATAATAATAATAATAATAATAATAATAATAATAATAATAATAGTAATAGTAATAAAAAGATTATTATAGTTTTGTTTATGGTGGCAATTTATTGAGAAAGCAAGAGATGTTATTGTACATTATAATAAGAATACAGTGTACATTTCATTTCTTGTGAAGATTATAGTCTCTTCCTGTTCTTGTTTTTCTTCTTTGATTTCTGTCTCTCTCCCTCTCTCTTTATTAGGGTTTCTTGTTGGTAAGGAGGGTCCTATGATTCATACTGGGGCTATTGTTGGGGCAGGGATACCACAAGTAAGCTATTAATACACTAATTGAATACCTTTTAATTGTTTCATTTGTTCATTTGATAATGTACATGTATTTTTGAATATTTCTATTGTGCCTTATCTACTCTTGCTGATATAATAGTTGGAGAGACACTTTTACAATAAATGAATTTAGACGAAGAGGGGATATTTAATTTTATTTTATTGTTTTGTTAATTAGATATTAAGATTAATGATGTGATTAGATTTTATTTTATAATTCATTTTGTAGTTGAGGAGTTTTATATGGAAAAAGCTCAGGCTACCTTATCCGTACTTTAGAGATGACAAGTAATTACCAGGGGTATATTATTTTAGAAAATTATTAATTTGAATTATTTTTAGAAACAAGAGAGATTTTGTATCTTGTGGAGCTGCTGCTGGTGTAGCAGGTAACTATAGCAATAATAATTAATAAATTGGTTCATTGATTGTACTCATGCATGTAGCTGCATTTGGTGCACCTATTGGTGGAGTCTTGTTCAGTTTAGAAGAAGGATCTTCATTCTGGGATCAGGGATTAACCTGGCGCTCTGTTAGTGCACATTAAAGAATAATAATTATTGTATGATTCCTCTATTATGCCTTATAGCCTTCCTCTCTCCTACTCTCTCCTCTCTCTTTCTCTAGTTGTTCTGTGCTATGTGTTCCACCATTACTCTCAATCTTTTACTTACTGGTACTCCTCTTGTACCTGAGGCTAAATTTGGTGAGCTTGATCAACCTGGTCTTATTAATTTTGGAAGATTTTCAAATGGAGGGAGTGGTGGAAACCTTTGGACCTTTCCCTATCTGTTTCTTTTTATTTTGATTGGTGCCGGAGGTGGTTTGTTAGGAGCATGGTTTAATAGTCTGAATAAAAGATTGACTATATACAGAATGAAACATGTGTTCAGGAAAAATTTCTTTTACAAGTAAGTTAGAGGAAGGGATCGAGAAAGAGAAGGAGGAGAAGAAGGAAGAGTGGAGTAGGAATAGAGAGAAGTACAAGTGTGTGTGTGCGTTGAAAGCAGAGATAGAAAAAGAAGTGGGGGCATTATAAACAATGTATTTCTCATTTCAGAATGCTAGAAGTCATATTAATAGCTATGGTAACTACAGTTAGCTTCTTTATTCTTGCTACACTTTTGGGTACTTGTGTTCCAGTCATCACACGGAGTGAACAACAATTTGCCAACAGTACCAGGAACTTCTTTTGTCCTACTGGAGTCACTTTTTCAACCATTAAATTCAATGACTATTTCAATGACCTAGCTACTCTTATGTTCAACTCTGAGGAGGATTCAATAAAACAGCTATTCCATCAAGACGGTTAGTTCCTTTAGCAATTATTTATTGTGTGATATGACATCTGATTTTGATTAAATTTGGATTTTTATGAATAATTTTTAAAGTTGCTCAAAAATTGGGCCAATTAACTTTCATCAAAAATGGCTGGGTGAAAATTTTCCATTTTTGTAACTTCTTTTGTTTTATATTGTGTATCAACTTTGAGCAGATTCTGCATAACCAAATTTAGATTTTTTATGAATTTTTGAAATTGGTCAAAAATTAAGCCAACAACCAAAGGCTATATTGCCTTGGGTATATGGCCAAATTTTGTCAATCCTCCATTTTTATAATTTTTCCAATGCAAATTTATGAATATGTTCTTATGCTGTGTATCAACTTTGAGCTAATTGGATCAAATTTGGATTTTTTAATGAATTTTTAAAGTTGCTCAAAAATCTGGCCTGAGACTATGGGAATTTTATCAGAAATAGCTAGGATAAATTTCTCCATTTTTATAATTTTTTTGATACATATGCATGTCAGTCCTTAAGCTGCATGTGTGTATCAATTTTGAGTTAATTCTGATGAAATTTAGATTTTTAATGATTTTTTAAATGCCTTGTGCTATATTGTAGTGCTTGTCAGCTCATAAAGGATGCTACATGCATTTAGCTCACTAGCATGCTGCCTTGGAGCTCAAGGTATTTCATCAGGAGAGAATTCTTATTACATTTTGTACATAATAATGTTCTGATGCTATACAGAAAGTTCTAGTAAACACTCCCTATGCATGTACATGTACATTTACCTATTGTTGACACTTTCATTTAACAGACAGCTGTACACGTACATGTAGTGTACTAATTGCATTCCTTACCCTATAACGTACCCTCGATCCACACAATAAAGGATAATTCTTATTCCAAGATGTCTATATAGATATTCAGTGTACATGTGTAGACTTTCTAATTAAGTTTCTAGTACTTCTTACTTTTAATATAATGGATTGACCTTATGCAACAAAAGGTTTAATAGAGATGGATGGATCCAGAAATTTGCAATCGATCCCAATTCCAAATACTTTGGAGACTGGAATCGATGGAATCGGATACCAATTCTGAGTATAACTACATCTGCGCATGCGCAATTAACGTGCACCTCTCAACTGGAGGAAGATTGTGAACATTTTCCTCTTTTATCACTTCTTCCTTACTGTAGGAGCCACTTTGAATTCTCTTTTTGTTTCATCACACTCTATTCATTTCTTCTGTAAGCTTTTTGGTTGTTGTTTTGGCTTTTAAAGTAGTTTTTATAGGCCTATTCTCACCCATTGGCAATTTTTGTTTTGGTAAATTTTGCGTTCAGGAGCCAGGGTGCTTGCCCCTCCATTGCTATGAAGACAGAAGTGTATTCACCTGAGTCCTATGAATAGTGTCTATCATCAGACTTAGTCTCAGTCCATCAGGACAAGGTACAGTGGAATAACTCACTCAGTTGTCATTTTGCAGCTAGAGTGTGGATGATATGACCACCTCTTCACTTCTTAAAACTATAGGATGGCTCTTTTAAGGATAGTTGAGGGATGTAAGAACTCTCTGGCTCTCATTCTTTATCTGTAAATTCACTGGTTGTACTGTGTGAGCACCTCATGTTGTATAAAAGTCTGAGTCACTATCCTATACTTGCAGAGCAGAGTCATCACATTTACTGTACATGTAAGATTTGTTTGTGGCTTTTCATCATTTGTATCCTCTCCTGACAGTTTTATTCAATATTTATAATTTAAAAAAACAATGGGCATTGTTGTTATCACTTTTTTTATACATGATGCTTCATGTATTGACACATTTTATTATAAAGAATATATACAATGTACATACACAATAATTTGACATTTATATTAACATTAAAAATCATGTAATGATGGAAGCATTTTACTTCATACTAGATGTCACTATTAACAGCTAGTTACTTGGTGCATAGCTATTCCAGCACACTTATAATCCTTGGAGTGACTCTTATATGTGAATAAAGACCAATCCTATAGTTTTAAGAAGTGAAAAGATGGTCATATCATCCATACTTCAGCTGCAACATGACAACTGACAACTGTTTTCATAGCAATGGATGGGCAAGCACCTTGGCTCCTGATTCCTGAAAGCAAAATTTAGAGAAACAGGAATTACCATAAGGATGGTGAGAATAGGCCTATAAAAACTACTTTAAAAGCCAAAACAACAACCAAGGACCTTACAGAAAAAAATGAATAAGTAGAATGTGATGAAACAAAAGAGAGCTAGCTCAAGGTGGCTCCTATACAGTAAGGAAGACTTAATAAAAGAGGAAAATGTTCAGTCAAAAATGTCCACCCAAAAATCCGCCAGTTGAGAGGTGCGTGTCAATTAGACCTTTTGTTGCATAAAGTCCATTGATCCCATCCATCCCTGGGCCAGAAATTGTTTGGGCTTAAAACTTTTGTATGCACATGGTATCATGATATTTGTGTAGTGTACAGTACAAAATCACTTTGTTTCATTTTTATTAGGTGCATTCACACTACCAACACTAGGCTTAGCTTTCATTTGTTATTATTTTATTGCTTGCTGGACATATGGAGCAGGATTGCCCAGTGGATTATTTGTACCATGTCTCACCATTGGAGCCCTCTATGGTAGATTTATCATCACTGCCATGCAGTAAGTGACCCAATCATCAAGGGGTCTTAAATTTTCATTTGTTTCTAGGACCGCTGGCATACCAACAGCAATAGATCCTGGAACTTTTGCACTGATAGGAGCTGCCGCTTTCTTAGGGGGTGTTGTCAGAATGACAGTTAGTCTAACGGTAATTCTTATAGAGTCGACAGACGAGATAGAGTATGGTTTACCACTTCTGGTGACGCTGATGGTGGCTAAATGGGTAGGAGACCTCTTCAATGAAGGACTCTATGACATACACATTGAAGTGAAGGAGATACCTCTCTTAGGCTGGGACTCACCTGAAAAAGTGGACAGGTTTGTTTTGATTAATATTAGTTGCATTTATACACACTGTATAAATTGGCTCAAACTTTATATTTATGTCTACAATGTAGTGCTGTTCTAGTGTTTGTAGTGTAGTGTTTTCATAATTTGCTAGTCTCATGTAAAATATATGTAGCTGTAACTGTGTGTGTGTGTGTGTATGATTAGTTTATTGCCTATTTATATGTACATTTGTGTAACTGTTTTGTTGTCATCTTAGGCTAACAGCAACTGATGTTATGAATCCTGATCTCAAGTACATATACCCCATTAGTAATGTCGGCAACATTGAACGTCTTCTTACTAAGACTAAACACAATGCATTCTTCGTAGTCACTGCTCCTCTTTCAGCCTCAACTGAAGACACCACTAGCTCAATTGGAGTCTCCAAACAAAGTCCCTTACTTTACAAGAGACAATCAATGCACCCGATACACAGAACCAAATTAATGGAACAGAGAAGAAGAAGGAAGGAGGCCTTGAAGAGGAAGGAGTACAAGGAGGCTACTATCAATGATGATGGAGAGTCCAGTGGTGCTACTCCGTTTTCTTCTGGAGCAGTGGAAGGATTGCATGATAATGCTAATAATGCTTTTACGTTCCTTGGTCTGATACTCCGGTCACAGTTAGTCAAGCTAATGCACAATAGGATATTCTTTGATGAGGAAAACGGAGTAAGTACAATACATGTACATATCAATTGTTACCGTGATGATGTGTACTTTACATGTATACAGGACTTCCCACAGGATTTTTGCATAGTGCTCATGCAGCTTCTTGTCTGTGGATTGTCAAGTTGCTCAAAAATTCATTAGGTCAAAGACTCTGTACTATAGTACAGGGTATTTTAACAAAAATTACAAGGAGAAAATTCTCTATTTTTATAATTTTTCTAATGCATATACATGTTTGTATGCTGTGTATCAACTTTTAGTTGATTTCAATCAAAGTTTATTTTATATAAATTTTTGAAGTTGCTCGAAAATCGAGTCAATAACCAAAGTCTAAAGCCTTTGGTAAATTTGGTCCCAGGCCAAATTTTGTCAAAAATGGCTAGGAGTGAATTCTTTACTTTTATACTTTTTGTGATACATATACTTGTCCTTATGTCGTATATCAACTTTGAGCTGATTCTAATCAAATTTAGATTTTTCATGAATTTTTAAAGCTGCTGTAAAGCTCTTTAAAAATTAAAATTATTAATTAAAATTATTTTTAATTAATACATGTACATGCAGGGAAAACCCTGCATGTACATGTATATACCATAAGTGTAGAAATTTTTGAGGTGTATTAATTTTTGCTGTTTTTGTGGGTACCAGCTAACCGGGAAAATTAATATTGGAACCCTTTATGAACAGAACGCCCACATGTCCAATTATAGTTGTTAGTAACAATGGCAGTTTACAAGTTCTTCAAGCATGTGGGCAAAAATAAGGACAAGATAGTGAAAGAAGACAATTAAACCTGAGGAGAAATCACAAGCAGCTGGTGTTGCTAAAGATCCAGAGAAGTAAAGGAAAGTCCACATGCAATAATTATTACATCATGTGACCTCACTGACCATGCCTTCTATGATAATTCGTGAAATTTTATCCATGCAAAATTTATGGAATATAAAGCAACTAGCACAAAACCACAAAAATTTATTACCTCAAAAATTTCTACACTTATGGTATACATGTACATATAAAATGTGTGAATGGAATATAGAGACCTTATTGTTTGTATACCTTAAATGTAACACATTTAAAAAGTTATAATTTTATTCAATTCAATGTAGGTTGAGACTCAGCATTGTATCAAACACGAAGAGCTAAACGAAGATTATCCTCGCTTTAAAAGAATTGATGATATTGAACTGAAAGAAGAAGACAAACGAATGCAAATGGTAGCAGACATACATGTACATGTACATACAAATACACATGCAAATACTCTCCCCTTCCTTGCTTTATTTCTATTCACCTTTTGATGCTATCTTTTTTATCCTCTTTCTATTTTTTCTCTTCTGTTTCTTTCAGGACGTCAGTTTATACATGAACCCGTGTCCATACACCGTATCATACCATGCACCATTAAGACGTGTCTTTAATCTGTTTCGTACAATGGGACTTAGACACTTGCCTGTTATTGACAACTCTGGAAAAGTAAGAGTAGTAGAGAAAGGGAAAGTAGAGCAAAGAGGAATGCTATAAAAAATTTAATATTGGTTGCATGAAGAGTATTAGATACTCTTGGTTGCATTTATATATTATTGAGTGTACATGAAGTGTCAAAGCAGTTATTCACTCTTGCTGTTATGGTAAAGCTTGGAGTATATATATTAGTACATGCAGATTAGTGACAGAATTACCAATACAAAGTCTAAACTACATGTATTTTGATTCAAAAATTGTCAAAATACTAAAAATCACAAAATTGCATGTAAATAATAGACATAGTGCATGTTCAGTCTTTCAAGAAGTACGGTATAAAAGAATGATGGTGCATGTATTGAAGCATTAGAGTACACTTTATACATTTGAAGTTATATTTGGTGATAATTCTGTTAATTCACAGCTTGCCTGTATCCTCTATTTGTGCAAAGTATTATTTGGTTGTTTTCTATTGTTCAGGCTGTTGGAATGATTACTAGACATGATCTGACACATGAACATCTACACAAAGCACTCCATGCTAAATCACGCCATAGCAATAATGACAATGATAGCAATGAAAATGATGGGAAGCTTGATGTTGCTGATACCGGTATAAGGCTTTAAAGCTGCTTTAAAGAAATCTCTATCAAACTTTTCTATGTAATAAATGTTAGAAAAATATTTGTCTAGGTTGCGTAGCTATACGGGCACTGCCATTAATGTATGTAGCATTAATAGTTTGCCGTTTTTGTATAATTTTTTATTATAATTTAAGACCATTTGATATTGCTGTTGTTTGTTATTATTATTATATTATTGTAGGTTTAAATTATTATTGACGTTACTTAGGATTATTTTGTACTTTTATTATTATTTATATTGGTTTTGTGTGAATGCTTGGAGTTCCAAATTGTGAAAGGTCTTGATCAATTTCCTTGTCAAATGTCTCGCTCTCTGCTGCTAATAATTGCCAACCTTCATTTGAAGTTCCAAAGTATTAATTGCATCCTGCACATAAAAGAATGGAAATTAGAAACAAAAATTATGTTTAACAGTATCCTAAGTCTTGCTTGAAGCTGCAAATTTTATGCTTTTTACCTTAAGGATAGTATTATATGATATTCCTAGCATAAATAACTCAGTTTTTATTGTTGTAACTCATGTGTCTTTCTCTTCCTGGAGTTTATTTTTCTCTTTAGTCACTTCAGTCAGTGTCTGCTTTGTTGTATGTAGTTCAAATGTTAGTTTTTTATAGTTTCTTCTAGTGCCAGTATCTTCATTTCACTTTGCTGTAAATTGAAGTGTCTTCGGTATACTAACGTGTCAAATCAAGGCAAATGTCTTTTGTGTCAGCTTTTTCCTCCTCCAATTGTGCTTTTGTCATCAGTAGTTTTTCTCTTGTTGCTTTCTCTGCTGTTTTGAAGTATTGAACAATCTCTTGTCTCCTAGCTACATGTAGTCTACATAGATCAGAGAAAACATTACCCAGTTCTTTTTCTTATTCAAACTCTACTGATCCTTTGTCAAACCATGTACCTCAGAGAGCAATTATCTCAGCTAAAACAGGTGTTAGGGAGTCATAATTTTCAAAATTTACTTTTGCTAAAAAAAGAATTCAAATTTATAGCCCTCAAAAAAGTGCCCTATGGTACAAGTAGTGTAGAATTTTTCTGATCAAATTTGAATTTTTTTACTAAATTTTAAACTTACTTAAAGGTCAGGCAAAAGTCCTTGTGATATAACAGGGAGTTTGGTTAAATTTTGTTTAAAAATAAAAATAAAAAATTCATCACTTTTATAATTTTCCTGGTGCATATACATGCACTTATGTTGTATATAAAGTTTGAACGGATTTCGATGAAGTTTGGATTTTTTAACAAATTTTTAAAGTTGCTCCAAAATTGAGCCAAAGTTTTTGTATTCCATCAACTAGATCCATACACTCACTGCTGGACTGAGGAATCTCAAGAGAACTACAAAGAAATCTTGACACCATCAAATGAGCACACTCACTCAACCACACATTATGCATACGTACACTTGTGTATACATACATTTTGAAATGATAATTTTTCAATTTTTATTTCAAAAGACTAGATGCATATCATGATGACTGTTGTCAACCTGGGACTACTGTGGGTGAGGTACTAAGATATGATTGTTTGACATTCATCATACAATCCACGGTATGCCCTTGTTAATGTAAGATGCAGAATAAGCTATGCAACCATTTGTAACATTTTAATAACATCAGTGTTGAGTGTTTTAGCTAACATTTGTATATTTGTATAGCTATTTCACAAACACATTGTATATGGCTGCATTAATTGCTGCTTACCCATTGTAACATATGTTGTGCATCAAAAGCATACATTTGCATCACTAGCTAGATCTTAGTGTACATAAAAGGTGAGTAAATTATTAAACAGTTTGTGTTTCATATTCAGTAGAAGGTGATGGAAGAGAAGTAGGAGGCTCTGACTCAGTTGTATCATACACAGGCTCAACAGTTGATCTATTTGATAATCAACAAAGTACCACACTCCAATACTAGCACCATTGTTAGCACTCTAACACCACAAAGCGTCATTTATGCTATCATAATTCTGATTGACATCGTAAAACTGGCTAGCATATATCATAGAGTAATCAGGTATTATTCTGTCCTGATAAGGTATAGGTACAGTCGAACACCTGAATATGAGCACAATAGATGTTAGTACTACTTTGCAGTCAGCAATGCTTATACTTTCTTACCATTATTGGGTAAGGTGAAAGGTGCTTGTCCAGATACAGATATCAGTTAAACTAAAGTTAAAAGAAAACAAGAACTAGTTGAGAGAGTCATCCTGTTTCCTAGAAATGATGCACTGCATGTAGATCCAGAGAATTTACATTCAAGGAGCTCTCATATATCCAGCAAAACTATAACAGCAGTGATGACATCACAGCATCAATAGCCAGTCAGCTTTTGCAAGAGCACTGCATGCACATTAATTATCAAAAATTTAGATTATTAAATTTTCTATGACCAGGGAATTAATTTAGCATGTATCACAGTATCAGTAATATTAGCATAATTTTATTAGTTACATTAAATCAGTCTATTTTTATATTTAACATAAAATTATTGCTACTAAGCTTCACTTTATTATGATTTAAACATTGCACTTCAACTACATTAAAAACATTTTTCCATCACAAGCACACATTGTACATAAATAACTTAAGATGAATACATTATTAAACTGTTGGTATTTCATATTCAGTAGAAAGTGGTGGAAGAGGAGTCTCATTTTCATTATTAGTTGCATCATACACTGGCTCATCAGTTGATCTATTAATAATAACTTTAAATAATAATAATAATTGTATTTTATATAACTGACTGTGTTTGTTGCACTGCATTGTAAGCTGGACTATCCTTCATTAGTATATCATCAGTAGTACTGTATGTGTGTGTGTGTATAGACATAATGTAATAGTCAATAGTGTAACTAACTTTTTTTTAATTTCAGTTATACGATAAGCTGAACTGCATTCCATTAAAATGTCATTATTTGATTTTCTATTAAGTTTAAAAATTAATTCAGTAATGAAATGTATACACAACTACACCTTTGCCTTTTTTGATTAATCATACTAGTTCCTTTTAAGTACATAACCAGTACCAGTATAATAATTATAAATATCATAGCCAGTATTAATAATACAATAAGAGCTACACTTAGGCCAATTATCACTCCAGTATTTCCTCCATTATTCACTAATACAGTAGTCAATGCAGTAGTCAATGCAGTAGTCATGGTAGTTTTCTCAGTAAAATAAGAAACTATATAAACATAAACATGGATCAACAGATGTGTATGTTTACTCATGCTTAATGACTGCGTTATTGATGACATTACTTTAAAACAAACTATGTATGTATTATCTTACTTGTTGATGAATCTGCAACAGTAATGACTGATGAAGTGCTTGATACAATAGTAGGAGTTGGAGTGATGCCTAAATAAATTGAGTATTATTAATCAAGTAACTAATTATGGTATAACCTGGTGGTATTGGTTGATTCCTCTCTCCTTCATAAATGATTCCATTAATATTAAATGATGTAGATATAGAGAACAAGTAGTTCAGATTAGGATCCAATCCTCCTATTAGACCTTCAGTAGTATCACCTGGGAATACTCTCATTCTTGTCTCTACTTGTCTCTTCTTTCTTGAGGAGCTACTGGTTGACTCATAATAGACAGTATAATGACTAGCTCCAGCAACTGAACCCCACTCAGCCCTCACTGCTGTAGAACTGAGCTTTTTTATAGAAAAGGTTTGAATGACAGCTAAAATAAAATAATGAAAATTAAAGTATATTAGACCACTTACATATTTGAGCAGTAGTATATTCACTATCAGTCCATTCTCCTGGTCCAATACTAGTATATGCTCTCACTCCAATAGTATAACTAGTATTAGGTATCAATCCTACTATACTGTAATAAGTGTTAGTAGTGTTAGTTATATTGTATGGACCAGTACTGGTAGACTCTCTATATCTTATGTCATATACTGTAATTATACCATTGGGTATTATAGGTGGATTCCATATAAAATTTATTGCAGTTGATGACCTTGCATATAACAGATCAAATATCACACTAGGAACTGTGTTAAGATTATGTTAAACTGATTAATGACTCATTGACTTACTTGATTCAGCAGTTAATTGTATTTCTTGTCTAGCTGGTCCATTCATATTATAATTATAAGGCATTATATTGACAGTATAGTTAGTATACGGTATTAATCCTGTGAGATTATACATTCTGTTATCTCCTCCAGTGATATTAACAGTATAACTAGTGTTTGAAGTGATGTTAGTGTATGTGAGGTAGTATCCAGTGATTGGTCCATTCCTTCCATTGCAAGGTACTTCATCCCATGAGACAGTCATTGACACTGACTCTACTGATAAGAATATAATATCACCCACTGGTGCAGTAGGGGCTGTGATAGACAGAAAAATAAATTTTAAGATCAATGTTAGAATTATCTTACCAGTTGAAATTGTAGTAACTGAATGATCAGCGGTTAGATAAGCTATCTCAGCTCCATATATTCCAATAAGATCAAAGCCACATTGACTGTAAGGAGGTATACCAGTTGAAGTATGTGGTGATGAAACTGATGTTTCATTATTACTAGTGACTGATGATGATTCACATACTCTACTACAATTCCTATTAATATTATAATGAATTGGTATTACAGCAGTTGGTGGACTCCATATTAATGTAATGGAAGTACTTGTAATTAATGTAGCCATAAAATCAGTAACTACTGGATCACCTAAAGCAAAAAATTACTGACATTTTATTGATAATTATAATAACTTACTAAATGCTACCATAACTGAAGCATTACGACTAGGTAGAGAAGTTGATTCATAAGATACTACATAAAAAGTGTATGTAGTCCCTGGGATCAATCCTGATGTTATATTGATTGTTGTTGAAGTAGTAGTGCCTCTACCAATAGGAGTTAAAGTTGAGAATTTACTGAAGACATCATAACCAGTAGCTCCTGATACAGTAGACCAGGAGAGTCTTACATGAGCTAAACCAGTACTTAATCTTGTAGCAATTACACCAGTTGGAGTATCAGATACTAAAATTATATAAATTTTATTGATTGTAAGTAACCACTAACCTGATATATTCAAAGATGAAGCATTAGTGTCTGCAGTAACACCACTAATAGTACCAGCAGTGACTCTGTCATTAGACACCATACATTGGTAGAGTACATTATCAATGATCGTACACCATCAATTTTCGGACACTTGTTTTAGGAAAACTATACATTGCCATCTCATGAAACTGCAAATTATTATAGAAATAGTTATCCTTTATTTGCGTGACAAAACTTGTAGCTCTAGCAAGAGTGCATAGAAAGTTATAAGCTCTCAAAGCGTGGTGTCCGACAATACCAATGATCGGCCAAAATTCTCAATCTTCGGACTGTCATTTCTGAACGGCAGCAAAGGATAGTTTTAGAAGGTCACTATGATAACTTTGTAGGCCTGT